AAACAGAAATATCTTATTTACATAAGTATTCAGACCCTTTGCTATGAGACTCGAAATTGAGCTCAGGTGCATCCTGTTTCCATTGATCATCCTTGAGATGTTTCTACAACTTGATTGGAGTCCACCTGTGGTAAATTCAATTGATTGGACATGATTTGGAAAGGCACACGCCTGTCTATATAAGGTCCCACAGTTGACAGTGCATGTCAGAGCAAAAACCAAGCCATGAGGTCGAAGGAATTTTCCATAGAGCTCTGAGACAGGATTGTGTCGAGGCACAGATCTGGGGAAGGGTACCAAAAACATTCAGCAGCATTGAAGGTCCCCAAGAACACAAGTGGCCTCCATCATTCTTAAATGGAAGAAGTTTGGAACCACCAAGACTCTTCCTAAAGCTGGCCACCTGGCCAAACTGAGCAATCTGGGGAGAAGGGCCTAGGTCAGGGAGGTGACCAAGAACCCAATGGTCACTCTGAAGGAGCTCCAGAGTTCCTCTGTGGAGATGGGAGAACCTTCCAGAAGAACAACCATCTCTGCAGCACTATACCAATCAGGCCTTTATGTTAGAGTGGCCAGACGGAAGCCACTCTTCAGTAAAAGGCACATGACAGCCCGGTTGGAGTTTTCCAAAAGGAACCTAAAGACTCTCAGACCATGAGAACCAAGATTCTCTGGTCTGATGAAACCAAGATTGAACTCTTTGGCCTGAATGCCAAGCGTCACATCTGGAGGAAACCTGGCACCATCCATACAGTGAAGCATGGTGGTGATAGCATCATGCTGTGTGGATGTTTTTCAGCGGCAGGGACAAGGAGACTAGCCAGGATCGAGGCAAAGATGAACGGAGCAAAGTACAGAGAGACCCTTGATGAAAACCTGCTCCAGAGCACTCAGGACCTCAGACTGGGGTGAAGGTTCACCTTCCAACAGGACATTGACCCTAAGCACACAGCCAAGACAACGCAGGAATGGCTTCGGGACAAGTCTCTGAATGTCCTTGAGTGGCACAGCCAGAGCCCGGACTTGAACGTGATCGAACATCTCTGGAGAGACCTGAAAATAGCTGTGCAGCGACTCTCCCCATCCAACCTGACAGAGCTTGAGAGGATCTGCAGAGAAGAATGTGAGAAACTCCCCAAATACAGGTGTGTCAAGCTTGTAGTGTCATACCCAATAAGACTCGAGGCTGTAATCTCTGCCAAAGGTGCTTCAACAAAGTACTGAGTAAAGGGTCCGAATACTTATGTAAATGTGATATTTCCGTTTTTTATACATTTCAAAAAATTTAGAAAAATGTGTTTTTGCTTTGTCACTATGGGGTATTGTGTGTAGATTGATGAGGGGAATAAAAAAAACAAAAAACATTTTAGAATAAGGCTGTAACGTAACAAAATGTTGAAAAAGTCAAGGGGTCTGAATACTTTCCGAATGCACTGTATAATAACTTTATCTTAGAGAAACATACTAGAAACAAATCTGTCTCACAAAATGATGGTCACAAAGACTGTTAATGTGCTCTTTTTTGCTGCTAACTGAAGTTATCCTTGGCTCTGCCATTTATAGTGCCTCTTATCTACAATTGATTAAAGTGACATTTAATGTGTGCTGGAAAGGTTACAGGCGTGACCTTCTGATGTGGTACATATGAGCACTGCATCACTAACAGGAGAGAAGTAGCCTTGAGTTCTTCACTGAAATTAAGGTGGTTATGTTACAATGATTTATGTTATTCTATAAAGCATTCAGAAACTGCATGTTCGCTTGTAATTCTGTATTGAGGCTGTTGTTCTATCTCCCTGATTACATGAACTGAATGTATAGTAGTTTAAGTTTGGGTGGTTAAGAGCCTTTGCAGGATAAATGACCATATGGATAGTAAACAAGAAGCAGAGAATCACAGTTGGGAGATCGTACTGTGAATCTGCATGCCCTCATTGGAGGAGCTCTGCCTCTGAAGGTTCTCTCTCTCCTTCACATAATTTACAGTGAGGGAATGACTGCCAAAAGACGTGCCCTCTCAAAGCCTTCATTTCAGTCCTCGGTCTGGGTGGGAAAAGACAGTCGGATGCAAGTGCACAGGCATGAACTAGTTTTCCTGACCTTGGCATTTAAGCATAATGACACTTCCATGAGAGTTCTCTGCCCTGCTGCCCTGATGATGGGGAGACAACATACCCATCCAGTTCCTGCTGGGCGAGAGGAGGCTGAAAGTGATGTTAAAGGCTGAGGATGCTGGGTGGGTGGTGAGACTGAGCAGGGATAGGTTAGGTGTGGTGTGTGGTGGGGAATCTAACTTGACCCATCACGATCCGCTTTGAAGGACCTGTTTGAAGCCAGCGGGAGAGGAACATGAAAGTGGGAACACAGCGTGGGCACCACAAAAACAAAGATCCCTTTTAACAGCTGAAAAAACCCACACCTGATGCATCTCACCTTAATGATATTCTATCAAAAAGCACTTTTACATCAACAAACAGGGAAGTGGCTGTCTGACGTGGCTCACTCTTTGTCCTACAAAATGGAACATAACACAAATCAAATAGGAGAGAAAAAACACAGACAGAAGATTGTAAATGTATTTGTGATGAGAATCACCATGATAAAGGGGACACTGGTGATGGTGTTTGTATCAACATGCAGAGAGAGAATCAACAGGCAGGTTTTGTACAACTGGGTCAAATATAGCTTTAGAAATTATATGGAAATGTGCTTGCCATGGTGATGCTGCAGCCATGTCAAAAGGCTGTTGCCGTGAAATGAGAGATGAGCTTCAATGTACAAAATAAATGTTATGTAGCTGTATCTTGCTGTATGTAAAATGACAACTATTTCTACTTGAGGGCACAATATACCATTGTGAACAAAGAGAAAAATTATGTCTGGTGTTTATGTTGAAATAATAATAATAATCAAGGAGTAACATACTAAATCACAAAGGTAAAGCCACTAGAGTCCTGCTGCAGTAGTTTGGTGCCTTATCTAATATTTTCATACATCATTGTGAGTCTTTATCGAGTTTGAAGACTCAGTGAGCCTCTAAATAGTATTGACATACCATTTAAAAAATGTTTTATAATAGACATTTGAAAAAAATATTCTACACCATATTAATTTTTTCTCCCTTTCACTCCTTTGCTCTCCAATGCTGCCCTTTCGTTTTTCCAGAGGTGAGGCTGTTTGCTGTGCCGAAGGGCTCTTAGCAAAGTTGTCAGCTGAAAGGTCACATCCAAAAAGGAAAGAGAAATAGAAAAATAAGATTGAGACCCTGCCACTCATGTCTGTGTCTCGATGAAGACACTGAATCTGACCTTTACCAGGAAACCAGATTCAAGTGAGCCATCAGACATGGGGATTGTGGATGGTGGGGAGTGGATCGACATGAAGGGGGTGAGAGAGAGTGGGAGAAATGTATAAAGGCACAGGCTGACAAAATCAACAAAAAAGGTTTGGCAAGCCTAAAGACTTTATTGTCTGTGCAATAACTGAGGCTTCAATCTAAGCACTCACTTTTTTATTGTTTATAAACACTGCAGATTATAAAAATGCAGTTGCGGTACATACACAGCATTTTTACTCCCATTGATTGTAACAACTAGGACTATCTCTGGATGTTAGCTGTTGCTTTTTATAGTAGAACAAGTCAAAAGAACTCACTTACACAAACAGAATCATAGTTTCTCACTACACAGGAATACCCACAGTTGTCACCACTTTATCTAGCTGACATTTTACTTGGAGTATACATGCTGGACACAACTTTGAATACTGCTGTTCAAAAACACAGTTCTTACAAAGCACTCCATGTTTTTACACAGGGTATCAAAATATCTACAATGAGAGGACACCAACATTTTTCAGTGATTTAAGAGTGCTGCGTAGCTGTGATCTAGTCTGCATGTACACTACCGTTCAAAAGTTTGGGGTCACTTAGAAATGTCCTTGTTTTCGAAAGAAAATCACTTTTTTTGTCCATTAAAATAACATAAAATTGATCAGAAATACAGTGTAGACATTGTTAATGTTGTAAATGGATATTGTAGCTGGAAACGGCTGATTTTTAATGGAATATCTACATAGGCGTACAGAGGCCCATTATCAGTAACCATCAGTCCTGTGTTCCAATGGCACATTGTGTTTGCTAATCCAAGTTTATAATTTTAAAAGGCTAATTGATCATTAGAAAGCCCTTTTGCAATTATGTTAGCACAGCTGAAAACTGTTGTGCTGATTAAAGAAGCAATAAAACTGGCCTTCCTGAGACTAGTTGTGTATCTGGAGCATCAGCAATTGTGGGTTCGATTACAGGCTCAAAATGGACAGAAACAAATAACTTTCTTCTGAAACTCGTCAGTCTATTCTTGTTCTGAGAAATGAAGGCTATTCCATGCGAGAAATTGCCAAGAAACTGAAGATCTCGTACAACGCTGTGTACTACTCCCTTCACAGGACAGCGCAAACTGGCTCTAACCAGAATAGAAAGAGGAGTGGGAGGCCCCGGTGCACAACTGAGCAAGAGGACAAATACATTAGAGCAAACACAACGTTCCATTAGAACACAGGACTGATGGTTACTGATAATGGGCCTCTGTACGCCTATGTAGATATTCCATTAAAAATCAGCCGTTTCCAGCTACAATAGCCATTTACAACATTAACAATGTCTACACTGTATTTCTGATCAATTTGATGTTATTTTAATGGACAAAAAAAGTAATTTTCTTTCGAAAACAAGGACATTTCTAAGTGACCCCAAACTTTTGAACGGTAGTGTATATGAAAACGACACAAAGCAAGCTATTTAAGACAGCTTTTACAGACCGCTGTCCAGCCTGAAACATCAGAATGAACTCATTGGTTTTCTGACAGTGCGCAGGGTGTGAGGGTAATGACCCTACAAGTCCCTCCTCCACTCTCCTCAGTGCCCCTGCCTACCTGTCTATCTTTCTTACTCTGGACACATTCACAGTGAGAGCAGCTGTGGAGGTGGATGGATGATCTTCTCAGTTAGATTCCTCCACTACGGCCCCATACACCACTTCACTGCTGTCCTGCACCCCGAGATTCAGATCTTCATCCGGGAGACACATGAAGAGAGGTGTCACAATCACATAGGGAAAGAGTCTCACACACACACTTTACATTGGGGTAATCAGAATATCATGCCAGGTTATCCTACCTACGGTCTGGTCCTGTGTGGTCTGAAGAGGAGTGTGTTTGTGGGGCTGCATGCCGCCTGGGGCCTTTGCAGAGTTGGGATCCTTAGGGGGCCAGCGGAGCTCCCCACTCTCCACATTGCCCCCATCAGAGGGCTCCACCACAATAGAGGGAAGTCTCTTGGACAGCTTGGGATTTCGCTCATGGGTATCTGGGAAAATCTGGACACAAAAAGTAGGGTCGATTTACTCTTTATTAGGGTGTTTTATTCTTTCTAATAGGGATTTGAAGTTAGCATCTGAGATCCTTGTAATGAGAGATCATACAACATTTTACAAGAAAGATCCAAAATGAAAGGCACATTTGTAATCGATAGGCTGTCACTTAATCTCTTGGTTGAGTGACTGTTGGATGGATGGATGGATGGATGGATGGATGGATGGATGGCTGGATGGATGGATGGATTGAGGCAACAGTAGACTCACCTGAAAGGATATGCCCTGATCCCCTGACGCTGCTCCAGTTACACTGAAGTCCTTTATCACAGGTTCCTGTGTGTTAATCACCTCAGTCATCCTATGAACAACAAGGGGACCAAGGAAATGCTGCTGTTGTATACCCTGTTAATACATTCATACAGATGTAGGATCTTAATTTGATCACCCTGTTGCAGGAGAACATTCCTGCAGTACACTTGTAGTGTATTTGAGGTTTAAAAAGGCTTCTGAAGTTTGTAATTTCCACTTAGAAATTTCAGACTTGATTTTCCCTTACGACAAATGTATCAACCCCAACAAAAATGTCTATTCATTATAATCTACATAATAATTCACATTTCCTGTTGCTGCAGGATTATTTTCCTGCTGTAGAAAACTGGCTCAAATTAAGATCCTTCATCTGAATAGCAGTTCTACTCACTGCTACTCAAGAAATCAATTGTGATGCTTTTTTAATCTTCCTTCTTGGTCGTTCTCGCCTCTCGCCTCTCTCCCTCGCTCAGCTGTTACTTATTTGATGACAACTTTGATCAGAGAGTACAGTAGTGCCAAGCCAGCCTCTGTGGCCCAACGAAACAGCCAATCAACCAAACGAGACAGCCTCTGTGGTCCAACGAGACAGCCAATCAACCAAACGAGACAGCCTCTGTGGTCCAACGAGACAGCCAATCAACCAAACGAGACAGCCTCTGTGGTCCAACGAGACAGCCAATCAACCAAACGAGACAGCCTCTGTGGTCCAACGAGACAGCCAATCAACCAAACGAGACAGCCTCTGTGGTCCAACGAGACAGCCAATCAACCAAACGAGACAGCCTCTGTGGTCCAACGAGACAGCCAATCAACCAAACGAGACAGCCTCTGTGGTCCAACGAGACAGCCAATCAACCAAATGAGACAGCCTCTGTGGTCCAACGAGACAGCCAATCAACCAAACGAGACAGCCTCTGTGGTCCAACGAGACAGCCAATCAACCAAACGAGACAGCCTCTGTGGTCCAACGAGACAGCCAATCAACCAAACGAGACAGCCTCTGTGGTCCAACGAGACAGCCAATCAACCAAACGAGACAGCCTCTGTGGTCCAACGAGACAGCCAATCAACCAAACGAGACAGCCTCTGTGGTCCAACGAGACAGCCAATCAACCAAACGAGACAGCCTCTGTGGTCCAACGAGACAGCCAATCAACCAAACGAGACAGCCTCTGTGGTCCAACGAGACAGCCTCTGTGGTCCAACGAGACAGCCTCTGTGGTCCAATGAGACAGCCTCTGTGGTCCAACGAGACAGCCTCTGTGGTCCAACGAGACAGCCTCTGTGGTCCAACGAGACAGCCTCTGTGGTCCAACGAGACAGCCTCTGTGGTCCAACGAGACAGCCTCTGTGGTCCAACGAGACAGCCTCTGTGGTCCAACGAGACAGCCTCTGTGGCCCAACGAGACAGCCTCTGTGGCCCAACGAGACAGCCCTAATGTTGAAATCATAGTCACTTTACAGGGTCCTGTACTTCCAGTCTCATATGCAAATAAGCATACAGAAACCTGGCACTTCAAGAACAACCTAAACTCAGAAAATATTAAGACTGTGTAGCAGAAACGTTTTATTTATTTATTTTTTAACATCGTTTTGATGTGAACGTAAGCAGCGTATGAAATGGGGACGACAGTCTGTATGATTTTCTGAGTATAGCAGTTGGCAAAGTGTGGAAAAAGACAGCTGATTTGGGTGTTTTCAAGTGTGTACTATGTAGTAATTACTGATGATATGAAAGTCTGAATTCTGTCCTTTCAACCTGGATGTGTTTTGTTTTTTCTTCCTCGTGTCATATTACTGTGGTATATTTTCAAGCTAATTGCTCCTTTATTCCTACTCAAAAGCACATCTTGTCCATAGATGGAATTCCTGTGGTCACTGTGTCTTGACCACTCGGCCGTCCTATCTCCAAGGGAAAGGCTTCTCTTAATTAATATCAGTTGTGAAGTCATACTTAGCAGGGTTCAATGCAATTGCGAAAGCTTGGGTACACATTGCTGTGGGTTAAGAGTTCAGTATGTAGTGTTACTCCATACAAACACACCTACCTAATGATGGCATGACACCAACAGACAGTGTGAATCACATCTGGTGGAAATAAAATACCACAGCATGATGTGACTAGGAGGAAAGGTGTGTGAGTGATAAGATGGACGCAGATGGAAAGAATGTAATCAAGGTGCATCCAACTATTCAAAAGCAAAGTCTGCATACATTCCAACCCAATAAAGTGTTTCTCTTGTCAGAGACACAGGTTCAAATACAGTGGGAGTAATCTTTACTATTGTCCTATTTCAGAGCCAAGCAATATTATTTAGCTGGAGTAACTGATCAAATGCACTCACCTATATCTAATACTTTCATATTAGTAAGGACTAAGAAATATGACATAGGAAAGGAGGCAGCTCTTCATATTAAGAAGCACCCATGCCCTACTGTGACACAATGTAGTTGCAATTGTCCAGCTCTGTCCAAAATTATGACCCATAGACTCAATGATTTATCAGTGCTAAACTGTTGAACACTACATTTCAACACTGTATCTCTATTAATATAGGCTATTTGTGTTTGTCCTAAGCCATTTGTTGATAAACACAAACTTTCATAGGCTACTAACTCTAACTGTGCGCACCTTAATCATGATGCCTACCTGTTTGGAGCGTTTACGTCCTTCAAAGCGGAGTTGAGGAAGATGTTTTTTTCAGATTGGCTTTTTTTTCTCGAAATCGTGAGAGAAATCCGATAGACAAGTGTCCTTATACACAGTGATGTTCCGAATGAAGTTTCCCCAGCACGCGAGTAATGGATTATGCGCACTTGCGTAGTCGGGTGACTCGACTGACACCATAGCCTACTGAGAGACCACAGGTAGGATAGAGGCAAGAGAGCAATTGATTATTCTGCCATTTTATTACCGCAGTGTACACTAGGACAGTGGCGATTTTAGCTTGTAAATCTTGGTGGGGCAAACTCAACAAACAAAAAAATCATGCATGCCAACAAAGCCACTACACAACACAACACTAAACAATATATTAATTGCACTATAATGGTGACAGACGGTGCCCACAAACTGTTAGGGCCTACATAAAGCTGTCCCAACAGCAGAGCTTTCTTATCAGCGGAGCCTTGTCTGGCAGTGAAACAGTTCATTCAGCCTCATTTACTAACATTTAAAAAAACATAGCTGATATGGCTGACTTGCTTAAACAAATGTGGTTTCTATTGACAATTGAGATGTACAAACTATGGCATAAGGGGACGACGAGCAGATAAGAGGCAATCAGTAATTTCGATTAAGACATAATTGAGCAAGCTAGGACAGATGTATTCAACAGTGCCTTCGGAAAGTATTCAGACCCCTTGACCTTTTCCACATTTTGTTACGTTACAGCCTTATTCTAAAATTGATTTATTTTAATTTTTTATAATCATCATCAATCTACACACAATACCCCATAATGACAAAGCACAAACAGGTTTTTAGAAATTTTAGCAAATTTATTACAAATAAAAAACAGAAATACCTTATTTACATACACTACTGGTCAAATGTTTTAGAACACCTACTCAGTCAAGGGTTTTTCTTTATTTTTTACTATTTTCTACATGATAGAATAATAGTGAAGACATCAAAACTATGAATTAACACATATGGAATTATGTAGTAACCAAAATATTTTTTTGTTGATGAGATTCTTCAAATAGCCACACTTTGCCTTGATGACAGCTTTGCACACTCTTGGCATTCTGTCAACCAGCTTCATGAGGTAGTCACCTGGAATGCATTTCAATTAACAGCTGTGCCTTCTTACAAGTTAATTTGTGGCTTTTCTTTCCTTCTTAATTTTTATTTAACTAGGCAAGTCAGTTAAGAACAAATTCTTATTTACAATGACGCTGGGCCAATTGTGCACCGCCCTATGGGACTCCCAATCACAGCCAGTTGTGATACAGCCTGGAATCGAACCAGGGGGTCTGTAGTGACGCCTCAAGCACTGAGATGCAGTGCCTTAGACCACTGCGCCACTCGGGAGCCCAAATACGTTTGAGTCAATCAGTTGTGTTGTGACAAGGTAGGTGGGGGTATACAGAAGATAGCCCTATTTGGTAAAAGACCAAGTCCATATTATGGCAAGAACAGCTCAAATAAGCAAAGAGAAACGACAGTCCATCATTACTTTAAGACATGAAGGTCAGTCACAAAACCCATGAAGTGCTATGATGAAACTGGCTCTCATGAGGACCGCCACAGGAATGGAAGACCCAGAGTTACCTCTGCTGCAAAGGATAAGTTCATTAGAGTTACCAGCCTCAGAAATTGCAGCCCAAATAAATGCTTTACAGAGGTCAAGTAACAGACCCATCTCAACATCAACTGTTCAGAGGAGACTGTGTGAATCAGGCCTTTATGGTCGAATTGCTGCAAAGAAACCACTACTAAAGAACACCAATAAGAAGAAGAGACTTGTTTGGGCCAGGAAAGACGAGCAATGAACATTAGACCGGTGGAAATGTGTCCTTTGGTCTGGAGTCCAAATGTAAGATTTTTGGTTTCAACCGCTGTGTCTTTGTGAGACGCGGTGTGCGTGAACGGATGATCTCTGCATGTGTATTTCCCACCGTAAAGCATGGAGGAGGAGGTGTTATGGTGTGGGGGTGCTTTGCTGGTGACACTGTCTGTGATTTATTTAGAATTCAAGGCACACTTAACCAGCATGGCTACCACAGCATTCTGCAGCGATACGCCATCCCATCTGGTTGGGGCTTAATGGGACTATAATTTGTTTTTCAACAGGACAATGACCCAACACACATCCACGCTGTGTAAGGGCTATTTTACCAAGAAGGAGAGTGATGGAGTGCTGCATCAGATGATCTGGACTCCACAATCCCCCGACATCAACCAAATTGAGATGGTTTGGGATGAGTTGGAACGCAGAGTGAAGGAAAAGCAGCCAACAAGTGCTCAGCATATGTGGAAACTCCTTGAAGACTGTTGGAAAAGCATTCCAGGTGAAGCTGGTTGAGAGAGTGTGCAAAGC